CAAATTTTATCAAAGATACATGAAGGGATCTATTGCATGAAATTCTGTGTATAAAAAAACCCTGAAAACAAATACTCAACATTTAGAGAATGTGTTGCTTACAGATCAAACTTGTCCTAATGATCTATAGAGCAATAATCTATACATCTGCTCTGCTAATATAGTAGCTACTAGCTATACGCAATAATTAAAAGTGAACTAAAAATTCATTTTCTCAGTCATACGAACTACATGTCAAGTGAGCACTGCCTATATATGACTAATTACTTACTATCATAATGAATGGTGAAGAGAACATGTCCATTATTACAAAAGGACATTCTACAGGACAGTGCTGGTCTACATGTTGTGTATATAAATGGCCTCCTGATGTCCTCTTCCCCTATATTCACTGACTTATCTAGAAATACCTGTTTAACCTTTAATTTTGCCTAAGGCTCAACAGCTATGTCAAGCTACCCTGATTTATCCCAAAAATTTACATGTTCTTCACTTACAGTCTTGCCACACCTTGATAAATCTTGTACAGTAACCATACCACATATAGTCCTAGGACTTTTCCCACCACAATCCTGCAAACATCTAGAAAGAGTAACTTCTTTCCAAGAAGCTCTAAACTATTCTGGCACAGACAAGACCTTGAAAATTTGTGATATACTATGAACACTGCTAAAAACAAGAGAAAATGGACACAATGATTACTAAAAAGTGTTAATGTTGTGAGAGGCAGGATCACAATGGACTTTTTAGCTATGGATTTTTACATTTTCTTAATATTAACTACAAGCAGCCTCATAGGTATTCCGTGAGTAAATATTTGTGAAACAGCTTTTTGTGACTTTTTTTTCCCCCAGCACTGGAGCTTAAGAGGAAGGCCTTTGAACTGACCTATATCTCCTACCCTTATTTTTGAGACAGTCTTGCTAAATGTTATGGTTTGTGTCTAGATGTCCCCCAAAAGCCTCATGCAGCCATTGGGGGGGGGCTTCTAGAGTTTGTGATTAATTCATAATCCAAACGCGGGGGATTATGGGTGAGTGCTACACTTGCCCTGGGGCAGATGATCTACATACAAATGTATGGAGGGGAGAGAAGCTAACTAGAAGGCACAGCTGCTGCCCCTCCCTTTGCTCTTTTTGCTGTTTTCCAGGCCATGAACTGCTGCCCTCTGCCATGTGGCACTCTGCTTTGAAGCCAGCCGGGTTTGGACTGAAACCTCCAAATAAGCCTTTCTTTCCTTAATTTTGGGTGTCAGGCATTCTGTCCCAGCAACAAGAGAAGAGTAACTAAGACACTAAGTTACCCAGGCTGGTCTGAATTTGCAATCCTCTTGCCCCAGCCTTCTAGAGTGATGGAATTATGGGTATGCTGTACCATGCCTAAGAGCACAGTATTTTAGGAAAAAAAAAAAAAAAGGCAGGTGTGCTAGCATACACTTATAAAAAGTGGGTGGGGATGTAGTTCAATGTGAAGACCCTGGGTTCAGTTTCTAGTACTGAAAAAAATAAAATAACCAAAACACTTTAAGTTTTGCTCATTATGGTATTAAAAGCATGTTTACATGTTAGATCCCAGTATTTTGTCCAATAACAATATCTTATGATATATTTTAAAAATTAAACCTCAAAATTCTAAAACAGGATGTTTCCAGTAGATATAAAATCTGACTGACCGCGCCCCCCCCAGCAGTGTTTTGGCATTAGTATCAATATACTAACCCAACTTCCACATTTACTGAGCCCCTATCTATGCAAAGCATCTGTGGTGAAGAACCTTCTTCAGAAAGACCAACATTTAAACTCAGCTAGATATCCAAACACAACAAGAAACTGGCTTCATTTATTATTCAAATAATTAAAAGAAACCTCAACCATTTGAAAAGGTAGTATATGACTTGGTTTAAAATCAAAGGTTAACAGGATCACAAGTCTGCATCTTGTACAGCAATTAACCACTAAGAAGAATATATGCAGTGTATTATTTGTTGAAACTGTAAAAAAAAATTTAAAAAAATAAAATAAAATCAAAGGTTAATGTATCATTTACCTGCAATCCTTAGAAAAGCTACTGTTCCAATAAGTGAATTTTTGAGATAATTCAAGCTTATCAAACTTATTCAAGTTATCCACTCAAGTGGACAAGTTAAGCAACAACATTTGAACTTTTTGACACTGAAGTCTTAAAAAAAAAAAACAAAAAGTACAAGTATTCCAACTTGTAAAAGCAGATTCTACTAGCATTATTTTGACTAATAACTGTGTTGTCCAACAATCAATTGCCTAAACTAAAAGTCCCCAGGTTGCGGAGTTGGAAGCTTTTTTTCCCATTCCTAGCTGTTGGTGTGTAGCTGTCCACTGTTGCAATGTGAACAGCCCGTAGCCCCCCTCTCATGCCATTTCAAATTCTTTGCTACTTAGAAAATTTTGCCTAAATATCACATGCTTTGAGGAGATCTCTAAATGTATTTTGGTTGCTCAGTCTTTTCTGCTTATTTCCCAGATCTATTGGTCTGCAATTACAAGTTCAAAACCAAATTTTGGATAAATGTATCTCTACTCTAGTGTGATGCTCTTACACTTTTATATTTGGAACTGATGTTCAATCAGAGGTGATTTCATTTCCTATTCAATCATTCAACAGATACTAAATCCCTACTATGACTTACACTCCACTAGAAAAAAAAAAAAAAAAAGAACTGAAAAACCACTAGTTTTAGCCAGGTGGCATACACCTGTAGCCCAACACTTGAGGAGGCTGAAGGAGGAGGATCACAAGAGAGTTTGAGGCCAGTGTGGACTACACAGTGAGTACAAGGCCAGCCTGAACTACATAGTGAGACCCTGTCTCAAAAATACAAAAAAAGAGAAAGTTCTGGACATATTTTAAAACTGGAAAAACTATAAAGTATTTTACTTAAAGTGTTAAAAAAATAATTTTAAGACTCAAATAAAATTACAAACCTCTTTACAATTTCTGTAACTTTAGGCTTAACTTTACTCAGGAGTAAGGGAAGCTTTTGATTTAACTAAATGTTTATTTCATAGTGCTCTGAAGAAGACTCCAAGGTTTTTAACCTCCTTTCCCTATTATAAATTCCCAAAGAACTCAGTATCAATATATGCTTTATTATTAAACAAAATGCACATAATAGCAAATATTGGTAATAGCAAATATACTTATCTCAACTGTCTGTTAAGTTTATCAGCCAATGTTGAGCAGAGAAAAAGTGTCAATCCAAAACTTCTATCCAAAGTGTAACAGGTACCTATATATTTATTTTGGTCTTTTTTTTTTTCCTGTTTGTTTTGACATGTTAAGAGTTAGTAGAACATAGAGTAATTCTACAATATATGCTACATCTGCCACAACCATATTTTTAGAATTGTATTACTCATTTAAACCTAACTCTAGCAAATGAGTCAAGAAACAATAGAACTTAAATTTAGTCTCTGTAGATTAATTAAGACATCTTGGCATCAGCCTGACTTTAAATCCCTTGGAATCTTCCTTCTCATTCATTTTGTCCTCAGGGAGCACAAAACCTTTGAAGTATTTTATAATTTATAAGTCATCAGTGATTCTATTATTTAGACGCAGCTGGAAATAGGTATAGTCACGTGCCTGCTGATCTAAAGAAGTATAATATTTAGAAATGAACAAAGTTCCTGCCATTAAAGACCTTGAATTGCCACTATTAAAAACCTTTTTAGTAGTATATTAATACTTCTTCAACATTAATTCTGCAACCTAAAAACACTTGAGCAATATTAAAAATGCAAGTCACAGAACTAACCTTCAAAATAAGTAACAATGTAGTATTACCTAAAATGCCACTTCACATTTTAGTAAGTTTTACAAATCTACACTGATCTTGTAAACATACCACGTTGTGCTGTGAAAGAAGCTTGATTTGAAATAAAAACTTAGAAAAAAAACTGATAAGGCTCTTGCTCTATCAACAACTTCGGTGAATGACAAGTGGTATTTACTAGATAATTATAAAGCAAAATCTCTAAAAGGTGCTGTCTACACTACCAAAAAAAAAAAAAAAAAAAAAAACCTGTAACACTGACTTCGCTCAAGATACCTACAGTGTAACTGGAGATAAGATTCCCATAAAAGGTAATATTAAGCCATAGGTAAAATAAACAGCTTGATTTAAAAAGTGGTCAGGACCACAAAATTTTTGAGAGCTAGCAGTGAGCACTCAGCTCGTATATAAACAAAGCAAAATTGTTCCTGTCTTCCATTCCAATTAAAATCAGCCAGTAATAAGGAGTTAGGACAAAGACATTAGCATAAGAAAAATGTAAGTTCTCAGGAGCAGCTGATATAGAATCATTTAAAATGTGTTCCTGTGAGTACACATTGGTTGTTTCTCTCCAAAGATCTCATCAAATTGAAAACAAAGCCGATTCGTGGCTATCAACTTCGCAGACTTGTTCCTCCGGTACCACTTTAGGCCCATCCGTACAAATGAAGGAGTTGGGGCGAAGACAGCAAGGGGGCATCTGGGCCTATTGTTCACTGAGCACGCAGGTACACAGGAGCACGGCCGAGTGCGCGGGAGCTGGGGCGCGAGGGGCGTGAGGCTGGCACACGTGCGGGGGGTGCGGGGAGCAGAGGTGAACAGGTGAGCTGGGGGCCTGCAGCTAAGGAAGAGGGGCCCAACTTCCGAAAGGTGTCGAGAAAACCTTAAAGGACAAAATCATGCTGACGCTTGAACCGCGGGCACACTGATGGCGTGGGGAAGGTCTGAAGGGTCCCCGGGGCTGCGGGTTTGACTGGAAGACGGCGAACTGAAGATGGACAACACCGGGAATGAAAAGAAAGGCTCTCAATTCGGAAGGCCAGCCTAGGAATCCCCCAACAATAGACAAAGCTGGGGCCCGGTTTGGCGGCGAGAGCTGGGGTGTCGCGAAGATGAAGCGGGTGGGCAATGGAAACAAAAGCGAAAAGCCCCCCGGTGTGGGCCCCGATACAGCGGCGGAGGCGATTACCTGTGAGAGCTGCCGGGGGTTGGGACAGCCGAAAAGCGCGGAGCTGGAGCTGAAGCTGATGGCTCCTCGGCGGCTGAGGACGTGCTGGGGGACCGGCCTGTCCAGCGGCAGCACCGGCAGCTGGTAACATACTTCCATTGAATACGCCCGCCCTGCCTGCGCGCGGCGCCCGCCCTGCCGCGGCCGCCGGCCCCTGCGCTGGGAGGGGGCAGCGGCTCGGG